CCTTACTCTTCTGAGGAAGAGTAAGGTGGAGGTGATTATATAATTTTTTTTCAACATACTATGGGGGTACAGATGTTTAGGTTACAGATGTTGCCCTTGCCCCCCCTTCCTCCCCTAAGTCTGAGTTTCAAATATGCCCATCCTTCGGGTGGTGCGCATTGCACTCTTTTTGTATGCATTATGTATATTTTGTATGCATTTTTTTGATGGTTATGTAATTGCTGTAATTCCAGAGGGGCAGGGTGATGGATAAGGAAGAGGCCAGGAAGGAACATTTCCTCCCTTCTCACCCTTGTTAGCCCTCTCCTTTTTCCTCAATCCGTCAACCTGGCCTCATAGATGCCTCCCCCAGCTCCATTCTTCCCGGATTAGGTGGAGAGATCAGATCACTGCCTCCCTCACCTGGGTAAGGATACACTTTCTCTCTCCCTTCCTGTCTCAATATGAAGACCAGACTCACAAACCACCACCACCACCGCACACATGCCACCGCAGGGTAGTTAAGAGATGAGTCCTGAACAGGTATAAGGAGGAGGGAGTGTTCAGGGTTCAGAACGGGAGGGGAGGCAGAAGCTGAGAGAGTCAAAGGAGGCAGCCTAAACTTAGGTCTCTACCCTGAGAAAGACATCCTAGCAGCAGATTTAAGACATAGCTACAAGAGAGGATTTTGAATGTTCTCACCACAAAGAAATGATAAATGTCTCATGTGATGAATATGCTAATTACCCTAATTTGGTTGTTACACATTGTATACATGTATCAAGACATCATACAGGGCTGGGCTAGGTGGCTAACGCCTGTAATCCTAATACTTTGAGAGGCCAGGCATTTGAGACTAGCCTGAGCAAGGGTGAGACCCCATCTCTACAAAAAAATAAAAAGATTAGTCAGGTGTGGCGGCTTGCACCTGTTGTCCCAGGTGTCCCAGGTGTCCAAAATTTTAGGATTCTGGAATTCCAGAATTCTAAGGTTTGGAAAGTCTGTGTTTCCAAGAGTCTATTTTCAAGAAGTTATGAGTTTCTATGTGTATCGGGCTATAGCATTAGCTGCTTCTCGCCCTGTGCGAGGGGACTCACCTTCAGGAAAGACTGAAAGGTGGCATCAGTGCGAACTTGTGGCAGGTTCCCCAGGAAAGGTATTGGTGTGGGGCCTGGGGGCAGCTTTCCTCCCTTGTTTGTTCGTTTCCAGGCAATGAGGATGATGAGGCAGGACAAGCAGAGTCCCAGAAAGACGGTGAAGCCCGCTCCCAGCTCCATGGTGGTGCCAGGCCAAGAAGTTGTATCCTGGGCACCAGATCCTGCCTAAATAGGTTCTGGGAAATCAGCTTATACAGAAATCTGAACACCCTCGGATTCAAATTTTCCGGGCACAGACAGCATCAGGGAAGAGATTGCCTTTTCTGGGGGGTGGTTATATAATGTATAATCTCCTGCCTGAATAAAGGTAAATTGAATTCGCACAGGGAAATCCACTGGGGCATTCCCCTTTCTTTGTATTTCCAGTCTCCCAGTTGTTCTCCCTCAGCTTAACTTACGATTCAGCATTTCTTGGTGGGGTGCAAGAGGCAGTTGAATATCTTTTTAGGCTATTGAGTTTAGGGTTCAGACAATCTGGGCATAAGTTTCAGCTCCATCTTTTCTTCACTGGGCAAGTCACTTAACCTCTCGGCCTGTTTCCCGATCTATCAGATAGAGTAA